GCCTGCTCCGGACAGCCCCGCACAGCCTGCGAGCACCTGCAGTGCAGGGTGCCGGACATGGGGCAGGTGAGGGGCCACTTTTCTCTGCCCAGGGAAGGAGCCCAGGGAAAAGTTGAGCACAGGGGGGAAGTGGTCCCTCCCCCGCCCCACGCCGGTGCCCCATGCTGCAGGCACTCACAGCCCGCATGGGGCTGACTGGAGCGGGCACAGGCAGCCCCACGCGAGCTGCAAGCAGCTGCAACGCAGGGTGCCAGGAGTGGGTGGGGAGGGGCCGCTTTCCCCCACCCCCCACTCCTTCCTTGCCCGGGGGTCCTCCCCCCCCACTTACCTGAGCTTCCTGCGCTGGGGCAGCCACGTGCTCCCAGGCCAGAAACCCCAGAAGGGGCTTCTGGCTAGGGGGCCGGGCTGGGCAGGCCCGCTGTTGTTGGAGACCGCTGGGCTTCCCTGGGTCCTACTGCCCTTGGTTCCTGTCATTTTTTACAGGCACCAAAGGCAGAGAAATATTAATTTTCCAAATTTTTTTAGGGGCCCCCTGGGCTGGATACTATGGCTTCGCAGGCCAGATCCGGCCCGCAGGCCATGTTTTGCCCACCCCTGATTTACTCTCTACCCAAAAGTTCCCCTATATGCTTACGTTTTACAGCTTGCACTGGAGAGCAACTAGTTCAAGCTATTTTGGGTCCAAGAGTGGGGTGTTAAAGCTGTGGAACCTGCACAGGAACTCCAATTCCAGCATCTCTCTCCCATGACTCTACCTATGTTACACTGGGGAGAGTTAAGACACAGGTCCCAGCCATTTAAGTCCTTATTGGTCAAAAACAATAACTTAAAAATTTTACCCAAGGCCAAGAAACAGCCCATACAGGTCATAAAGAGCAGGTATCAGCATGTTTCCGGTGAACTAATCTGCTAAACAGGCAGGCAGACATATTCTACACCTGTTAACGTTTCAGATTTAAAGATGCTGATCTACAGCTATATATAGCCCAAACTACTGACTTAAGTGAGATCTGTATGGAAAATGAAATACTGCTCCTTTCTGACCAAAGGTATTTGGAAGAATAGTAGACTTGGTCACAGTACCTATTTGATCAATGTCTGCTTTATAGATAAATGACAGATCTTCAGATTATGAACTCATAATAGCCAGGAAAAATACACTCACAACCAAAGCAGTCATGATTTATCATATCTTTTAAATGTTTCCTTCAAACTGTCACCAACAGGTAAGCTTACATGGGTTGATCATCAAAAAGCTTGTTCTTCTCCAGATGCTGGAAAGACCACTTGAGGATTGTTGTAGCCCGACAAATTAGCAAAACCTCAAGGCTGCTCTATACTGCTCTAGGTACCAAAGCCACCCAAAAATATCCCATCCAACTACAGATCAGTAGGACATAAAGATGATGGCAAATTGCCAAGCAGAGCTTGACAAGACCAAAAGACTAGAGCACTATCATAACAAGTTCTTCTCACCTAAATACCAGGCAACTAAGTTGAGCTGCTCACCTGGGTTGGAGTGAATACCACTACTCACAGTGGCTCAATTTCTCTTTATAGTGTAATAAGAACAATTTGTTTTGTAAACCGAGGAAACCAAGGAAGGACAACTTTCTCCTCACCCCCACCCCAAACTCTTTTCAGAACCAAAGTTCTAGATGAGATCAAAACCCAGACTGGGAGGCAAAAAGAGATTGAGCTGCTCCTGCTATACCATGCTATTTACACACAATTGAAGTGAACAGCTCTTGCCCTGGAGGCAATTAATGTTCCTCCTGTCACCTAAAAGTAAAAATTTAATGTTTATTATAAGCCCAGAGAGATGTATCCCAGGGGAGTTGAGAGAACACGCTGCCACCTGCTTTCTTTCAAAAACTCAATTATTTTTTGGTAAAGTGCAGGATTACTTGATACTGAACCTTAAACATTCTAATTGCCAAACTTGACCATTATTTAAGAAAGATTAAACACCACTGTACTGGAATATGGTGACAATGAATATTTCAGCCAAATCAGTAATCTCTCAGGAAGGAAAGTTCAAAAACTCATGCTCTGAGGATGATGGTTTTTTGTTGGGTTTTTTTTGGTTTTTGTTTTTTTTTTAACAACAAAGGAAATCATTTCAGTAAACACGAGACAAACATTAAAGATGCTGATCCACAGGGCTGCTGGAACATTCTTCAACAGGAAAACAAAAAGGGGCCTAACAAAATTGTCTGTAATTATACAGGTTATAGGTAAGTATGTCACTAGACTAGAGAGACTTGCTGGTGCATCATTCTAAGAAATGAAAAGCTGAAAAGGTTGAGATTGTGTCCACATGGAAGGAAAGGGCCCACCTAAAGCACATAGTACAACTAGCTTAGGTTGTGCATGTATGATGAAGTTAAAGGAATAAAACATTTATTTAGATCTATGCAGAGAGCTGTAACAGGAACAAGTAATAAAAATGGCACTAGGCCTCAGTAATCATCAATAATATTAGGATACAAATTTATTTACAGGAAAAATAGGTGACTATGAAGAGCAACTATAATTGAAGTCTGAACTTTAAAAGGAGATAAATTTGATTTCAACGTAAACTCTGGGGGAAAAAAAGTTAAGAACACATAACAAAAACGGATAATCTCGGTGCTCTGTTTCATAGTAAGGAACATAAGGTTACAAGACACAACACAGTATTGGATTATATCCTGGAGCTAGAATCAAGACATAACAGTTACGAAGGTAAGAAGGTAAAAGTCAGAAGGTAGGAATAGCCATAAGAGTGCAGGAGGACACCAGCTAGGAAAACCATGCAACCTTAGGCCTATGATGTTTTAACATATTTAAAAGGCGAAGACAAGGGCATTGTATTTCAATGAGCAAGGGTTCTATCTTTAACCAATCACCTAATTTAAATTTAGTACACTAGTCTCAAAGACCGTAGCATCTATATTAGCTCAAGTTACCTTCAGGTTAAGTGCACACGCTTGAAACACCTTGTGTTACAGTTATTAGCATGTGCAGGCTTAGGAAGCGTGTTTATGGCACACACACAGTACTCGATAGTAAAATTTCTTAAAAATAGGTAAATCTCAATAGCCTCATAAAGATCCACATCATTTACACAACAACTAAGACAATATTTCTTAAGAGCTAGTTTTACTGTTTATAACATCCTTTTTTCATACCTAAACAACATGTCTGTATCCAGGAACTCATGAGGAATATTAAGGTTCAAATATTTGAGTGCAGAGAATCATAGAGAAGTAGGGCTGGACGGGACTTGTGGGATCATCTAGGCCAACCCCTTGTCTGAAGCAGGATCATTCCTATCATAACCATCCTGTACAATCCATAATCCAAACTCTTCGCAAGACTACCATCAACCCTGACAATGCAGACAATGCTAACACCCTAACCTGACACAGATAAAGCAGGGGAATCATGGCAGCCAATGTTCTGCTTCTATAAGATATTGTCAATACATGCTCAAGAGGTCCAGGGTAGAGGGCTGCACCCCCCACTACAGAGGAAGGCAAATGCCCCCACAGTCCATACCAATCTGTCAAATTACTTCCTGACCCCAAATATGGCAATCGATCGGACCCTGAGCAGAGTTCAAGACCCTTTGGCCAGGAACCTCTTGGCTTTGCTTGTAACAGGAAAATTGGCACACTCCACTTAAGTTCCCAGCCTTAGCTATAACCAACACCTAATGCCTCTGGGGAGGCTTAAAAACACCCTGACGTAGCCAAAAAAAGACAGGGGGGATGGGGGAAGGGTGGCAGCAACCATCAAAGCCAAGGAGCATGGGAAGTACCCATGACAGAAAATAGGCATAGCTATGCCAGAGATGCTCTCTTCACCAGGGAGCCTCTTGGAGTAACAAGAAACAATGGTCACAAATTGACAGAGAGCAGATTTAGGCTAGATATCAGGAAAAACTTCTTCACGGTAAGGGTGGACAAAATTTGGAATGGGCTTCCAAAGGAGGTGGTGCTCTCTCCCACTTTGGGGGTCTTTAAGAAAAGGCTGGATAGGCATCTGACTGGGATCATCTGACCCCAGCACTCTGTCCTGCCCAGGCAAGGGGTTGGACTCGATCTGCTGAGGTCCCTTCTGACCCTAGCATCTATGAATCCCCAACCAGTGGCTACCCAACCTCTTCTTGAACACCTCCAGTGATGGAGAGTCCACAACTTCCCTAGGCAGTCTATTCCACTGCTTCACTATTCTCACAGTGAAGAAGTTTTTCCAGATATCCAATCTAAATTGCCTTTGCTGCAAGGTAATTTAAGCCATTGGTCTGCATCCTACTCTCTGCAGCAAAAGAGAAAAGGTACTTTCCCTCTTCTTTATGGCAGCCCTTCAAGTATTTGAAGACTGCTAACATGTCGCCTCTTAAGGGCCTTTTATGCAAGCTGAACATGCCTAGTTCCTTCAGTCTCCTCATATGACTTGCCTTCCAAGCCTTTCCTTGATCAGCTTTTGTCACCTGCCTCTGGACCCTCTCTATCTTCATGTACTTTTTAAAATGTGGAAACCAGAACTGCACACAGTACTCCAGATGAGGCCTAACCAGCGATGAGTAGAGGCACTACCACCTCCCACATCTTGCACGTGAAAGCACATAGTACAAGAATGCTGTCTTGTATGAAACTACCCTGCTGTTCCCACTCCTCATAATGTTCCTGGGCCCAGAACCACCCTCCTCTTGGCCCAGTGTTGGACTCCACTCTCAGAAATCACCAGCCTCTCTCCTTTGGGGCACAACACACAGAGGTGCTAGCACAGGCTCTGGTGGCAGTCCTTTCCTCATTGCATGCTGTGCTGCCAGCAAACAGAAGATCACAACACTGCCTGCTAAGACAACGGATCACTGTTGCCAGGAAGACCGCTCTGATCATAGGCACAGATCTCCAGGATCTTGCTCTAAATTCTTCCCTTCTCCTTGTAAGTTTCCCTCTAGCACATTTGTTCCCCAAACACAACAGCCAAAACCTGCCCACTATCTACAAAAGTGAGTATGACAGACTGTTGCTCAATTAACTCATTCTTTCCTAATGTTCCTCCTTAGAATGCTTGCATCCATTCTAATATTATAAAAGCTTATGTCTGTCTGTCCGTAATGCTTTATTCACGCTCTGATTGGCTGACAAACAGCCAATCAGAGTGTGAACAAGCGTTTGAACAGGAGCTGGCGGCACGGTAGAGGGCCGCCATGATGGTGGGAACACAGGGGATGGGGGGGCGGGGTGAGGTCAGCTGTGCTGGGAGCCCCCCCCCTGCCCCGCTCCCTGGAGGTGGGGGTAACAGAGAGGACAGAACAGGGGGGGTGAGGCCAGCCCAGCCCTGCTCCCTGGAGCAGGTAGCAACGATGGAGGCGGGGGGGTGGGACGGGCAAAGCCTCCGGAGCTGGCTTCGTTCCCCCCACCCAACATCCCTCCTTGCATGCGACAGCGGCAGCAGCGCGGGAGCGGGGGTGGGACACCGCGGGGGGGAGAGGCGACTAGCTCGGGCCTCGGCCCACCCCCTCCCTTCCGTCGACACCACCTGCAGGGCCCGACGCAGGTTGGGGGAATAGCAGCAGCGCTACAGCGTGGCAGGGGAACGGGAGGAGCGCGCCTGAAACTGACAGGGTGGGAGGGGAGGAAGGGGGTGGGGGAGGAGTGGGCCCAGGCCCAAGTGGGGGAGGAGGCCCGCTCTTACTGTCCCCCAGCTACTGCTGCATCAGGCCAGGCCTGCTGCTTCCCCCTACCGCCAATGCTGGGTCGGCCCAGGCCTGCTGCTCCTCCTGCCACAGCGGGTCAGCTTGTCTCCATCCTCAGGCCCAGTCCTCTCCCGCATCGGGCCCAAGTCCACTCCTCCCCTTCTCCCCCCAGCCGCTGCAGCGGAGAGGGGCAGGAGCAGGCCCGGACCCCAAGCAGCAGGAGGTAAAGGGAGAGCAGGCCCAGACAAGAGGGGGGGCACCACAGGGCTCCATCCCTGCACGCTCCGGCCACCCTTGTCATTCCTGACGGACAATTGGCTAGCTTTATATACTTACCTAAAATATTTTCATGCCGCAGTAATACAGTGTTGTACAGTTCAGTTTCCCGGAACCAGGATTTTTCATCTCGGGAAGAAAAGATCTTCACTGCAACATTTTCTCCTTGCCACTGCCCTCTCCAGACCTCTCCATATCGGCCTTTTCCTGGCAAAAACAAGCAAGTCAGGTGATTTTGACCAGCAGTCTCTACTAAAAAGAATGAGCTGTAACAAGTATCCCAGCTGAAATTATCCATTTACAAATTCAATACGCAACACTGAATGCAGTGCACTGCCCACTTGCTCTCAAATGCTGCATAAATTAATGCAATGCATAAGCACATATTAACATAATGTGAAGGCTGCAATACATATACACATATATTGTTAAAGCCAACACAATCTCTCACAGGAACATAAGGATAAGGCATCTTTATTATACACATATCTAACTATCCATAGTGCTTGTCCACTTCTGCCACAGCTGTCTCTAGTGCCTTTCCCCACACTGGTTTCTGTGCACACACACACTTTTTAATGTGCCCCCCGAGGACATGACACTCTTCATATTTGAATCCTGCTGAGGGCTGTTTTCTACCACAATGCCTGGCAATCACAATAGAACTCTTAGGGGCAAAGCTGAGAAGCAGAGATGAATTGGGCGGGGCGGGTGCCACTGCAACCCTACTTTGATTTCTGGTCCACCCTAAGTTTAAAAACAACTTCCTGATAGTGGCAGCAGCATTTCTATTTAGGAAGCAGTAAGGGAGTCACCTGACTTCATGGCTCATTATAATCTACCCAATTCCTTCTAAACTCTTGATTCCACTGGTGTTAATGACCCCCTCTCCGTTTTTAATGGTTCAGAGGTTCCACTAATCAAGCTATCCCTTTTTGTTATATCCTGCTGTCTGTTAGCTGCTCCTGGTAATGTAGCTCCTATTTCACAGCCTTGCAGACTATTTTTAACTCTATCCAAAAACCATGAACTCAAGTGAACATCAATTTAGTTGTGGAAATAATTCTCAGTAAAACACTGGATGCACTATCAAGATGTTTAAGAAGGCTAAATTTTGTTCTATGAATCTGAAAAAGATGTATACTTAAATTTTAATGACAACAACTAAGTATAGACATTCAAAAAGCCTGAGCCTGAATTGATTCAATCTTTGCAAAATAGTCTAACCTGCATAGCTTGAACTGAGAAATAAGTGAATAGACAGACATTCACTTTTGATTCCAGAAATGCAGCTACATAGCTGCAGCTAGAAGTAAGCTCTCCCTTCCCTTCCACAGTGGCTAGGAGACTGAAGGGCAGCGGGGGGGGGGGGGGGGGGGGGCATAGCCAGGACCTGGCAGACTGCTCAGTATGACTAGGGAGGGCTTTAAACCCCAACCCTGGCCTGCAGGGACTGTAGCCAGGGTATGCCTGGAGGAGGAAGCAGCCCTGCCAGGCTCACCCCCAAGCAGTGGTGGGAAGTGGCTAGCTAGCAGCCCAGGCAGTGCCTCAGGTGAAGGGGGAAAAGAGAGAGGGGAATTAAACCCCCTGTCTCCCCTCCCACACTGGCATAGGGTCTGTCCGGCTTTTCCCCCACTCGTGGCTCAGCACCACCTGAGACCCCCAGAGCCTCCCTCCCAGCCAGGGAGCAATCCCTCTGCGCCTTCCCAGCCCAGGGTGGGGGGTTTTGCCTTGGGCAGCCCAGGAGAAATGGCCAGATCAGGGGGAGGTAGGGGAGTGAAACTGGCCCCAAGCCCAGATGAAGGCACGCACAGAGCAGAGCAGAGAGAGATTGCAGCAACTGTAGCTCCTGGACATGAGCCCTGCCGAGTAGAGGGACCCAGGCTGGGGGAGCAGGAACGGGAGGCAGGGAAAGGGCTCAAGCACGTGTCCACGCTAGGCCAGGGCAGGGCTGAGCTGAGCATGCAGCTGGAGGAGCAGCTCCTGCATGGCGGCCCCTTCACCTGCTGGAGAGGAGTGCCCAGGCTGGCTCTGGCCCCAGCCCTGAAGTGGCATGCACAGCGCGGGCTTGCCCCAGCAGTTCCTGGAGCTGGCCAAGGGCACCAAGAAGCTGGGCAGCACGATGCTGGAGGCTGAGCCAGGCCAGGCACTGAGCTCCTTAACGGTCTCCAAGGAGAACAAGTGCAAGGGCTCGCCAGGCAGCAAGGAGCAGCTGGCCGAGCCCACCGCAGCCATGCGGTACTCACTGGCCAGCCTCAGCTCCCAGCACTACTACCTGCTGTCTGCCAGGCCACCGGGTAGCAAGCTAGGTGCAGCCTGCTCACTCTTCCTCTACCCAGTGGCGGAACAGCATGACCCCATGTGCTAGGCATGGGGCACTACCCCTACGGCTTCCCCACCGCCGCTGCCATCAGGGGGGCCCACTCTGGCCATACTGATACATACTACTCATGCTGCTCGCACTGCCAAGGGGGCAGATAGTGACAGCAGTGGGGAAGCTGCCCAGAGGCAGCACAGAGCAATTAATATGATTACTAGTTCATTAATGATTAATTCATTATTATTATTATTGATCGTGTTAATTCATAATTCTTATTAATTCATTCTCCTTTAGCCGCTCTCGCCCTCCCCTTACAGAAAATAAACTATTAAATGATAAACGCCTACCTCGTGGGGAGGAAAGAGGTGGGGGGGGGGGGGGAGGAAAGTGGGGGGGGGGGGGGGGAGAAGCGCACACAACTTTGTACTTCTGTAGATGCACTGCCCCCCACCCCACATGACTCCTTGCATTCCTCCTCCTTCAGAAGCACTTCATAACACCCTCCTCGCTTTCAGAATTCCCTGAAAATCCCTACACCCTTACCTTCCTGATAAGGGCTGTATCTCCATTTTCCCCATGGCAAGGGCTATGGATAAATCCTGAATTCATCTTTTCCATCCCATGGCAGGATCTCCCCTTTCTCTGCTGCTCCCTTCATCTCATGGTCCCTGCTTCTTCTCCCTACCTTTATTTCCCTGAAATAAATGTAATTGATTCCACTGCCCTCTCACCCAGTTCTCTGCTTCTGGGTTCCTGTCTACCCTATCACCAGGGATCCTGGTTTTCTCCAACTTAAAAAAAAAATCCCGCATTTTTGGTTAAAAAATAGTAACCCCAAATCCACATTTTTCCATGATTAAAATGAAAAACCTCTCTCTGAAGAGAGAGAGGGGGGTCATTTAAAAATCACAGAAAATGTGGATTTGGGATTACTTTTTTAACCCCAAAATTAGGGATTTTTTTTTTAATTTGGAGAAAACCAACATCCGTGCTTATCACCAGCATCTCCAACCCTCTTCCCCTTCTATGTCCTTGCCTATCCATTAGTCACCCTCTCCCTCCCCACTGCCCACTCCCATCTTCTTCAGGGCCCTGATTCTTATTTCCCCCATCCACCCCCCTGCTTCCACTCCCATCCCTACAAAGCTCTTTGATTTTTATTACAGTCCAGGCTACAGACTGTAGACAGACCATCACTACAGAGCAAGCAAAGTTGCTACTTCTGAGATGAAAGGTGGAGAGGTTGCGCTCTATGTCAAAAAACACCTCACATCATCAAGGATTAGCTTTGGGTTAGAGGGTCAGGCAGACGCACTATAGATCAAACTACAAAGGGGGTGTGGTGAAAGGGACCTTACGGTGGGTGTCTACTACAGACCACCCAACCAGGGGGAAGAGCTGGACCAGGACTTCTCCAGTCAGCTTATGGAGGCGGTTAGGTCAAGGGATGTTATTGTCATGGGTGACCTAAACTACCCAGACGTTTGCTGGGAGGAGCAGACAGCCTGGTCTGACCGCTCGCAGAGGTTCCTAGCTGTATTACAGGACCTTCACCTTATCCAGCAAGTGCACAGCCCCACTAGGAGCAACGCCTTGCTGGACCTGGTCCTGGCCACGGGGGATGACATGGGGAGGGGACTGCAGGTCCTTGACCACCTGGGCAATAGCAATCATCACCTGCTGGATTTCATTATCCAACGCAGGGTATCAAGGGCTCACACCAAGGCTAAAGCCCTTGACTTCAGAAGGGCCAACTTCAATGAGTTTAGGAGACTGGTGGGGGAGGCACTGAGGGCCCAGAAGGTAGAGGAGATGGGAGTCCACGAGGGATGGTCGTACCTTAAGGGGGTGATCCTCCAGGCCCAAAGGATAATAGTCCCTGAGAGAAGCAATGTGGGGGGTAAGTGCTCAGAAACCCCCTTGGCTCAGCAAGGGCATTCAGGAACGCCTGAGGACTAAAAGGGGGGAGTAC